GGAAGTCGGTGACATCTGTGGCGCAGCTTGTTGGAAAAGCTCGTGTGATGGCATAACGTGTGGCATAGTCGGTGGTCACGGATATCCACTTGTTACCCGAAGAAGACAAGGGTAAAGGGCCAAGTTGGTCCAAGTCAACACGGAAGAACGGTTCTGATGGAATGTCAAGTGGTTGAAGGCGTCCGGCGGGAAGTGTCAATGGTGTTTTGCGGTGCTGACATTTCTCACAAGCCGCAACGTATCTTCTGACTGAGCGTGCAAGCCTTGACCAAAAGAAGCATTGGGGTATTTGGTCATAGGTGTGTGACACACCAATGTGACCGGCAGTCGGAAAGTCATGAAGTTCATGTAGAACTTCCGAGCGAAGGTGTTTCCGAATGACAAGCAGCAGGGCCGGTCCATCTGGCTCAAAATTTTGGCGGTATAATACACCATCGTGGAGCATGAATGAGCGATGGGACTGATGGAAAGATGGTGATTTGAGGCGCTCAATGATAACATGCAAGGACGCATCACAGCGCTGCTCGTCACCAATGCATGTCATTTGCGAAAGGGAAAAGACGCAAGGTTCAGTGTCGGCGTCAGCATAGTGCTCGACTCAGCAACCGGGTAGCAGGGCAGGCAGTCTGCGTCCTGATGTAAGCATCCGGACTTGTACGTCACTGTGTAGGTATACTCTTGCAGTCGCAGAGCCCAGCGTCCAAGCCGGCCAGTAGGATCCTTCAGTGATGTAAGCCAACATAGCGCATGATGGTCAGAGAAATTTATGCCATATAAATATGGGCGTAACTGTGGGACTGCCAAAACAAACGCAAGACATTCACGCTCTGTAATGGAATAGTTGCGCTCAGCAGCTCTGAGGAGGCGGCTAACGTAGGCGACAACTAGGTCATGTCCCCGTTGGCGTTGGGCTAGGACGGCTCCGATTCCATGACCACTAGCATCGATTCGGACTTCTGTCGCAGCGGATGGGTCAAAGTGAGCCAATATAGGTGGAGTCGTAAGTAGCCTGATTAAATCACGTAAATGTGATGCCTTTCTTTAGAAGCTCTATGAGCGGTCGAGTGATGGTTGCGAAGTCTTTCACAAACCTTCTAAAATATCATAAAGGGTGCTTACCAGTGCAAACTACAGGGCAGGAGGGGACAGGAGAAGAGACGAGACAGAGCGCTGAACTGCCAACAATTTATTTCTTGTGAAGGTATTCGCTTTTATACAGTTACCAGTTGCACAAGTCATGCGCGAAACACAATGACAATGCATAAGTACATCACATTGACAAGCAAAGGAACAACAGAAGAAATAAATTGTTGGCAGTTCAGCGCTCTGTCTCGTCTCTTCTCTTGTCCCCTCCTGCCCTGTCGTTTGCGTTGGTAAGCACCCTTTATGATGTTATACCAACACGCCCAATCCCACTGTCTCTTCTAAAATAGGAACAAAATTCTACAAAATTCCGGATGTCTTTTACTGACTGGGGTACAGGCAAACTGGTGACTGCACGAATTTTCTCGGGGTCTGGCTGCACACCAGAGGCATCGACAAGGTGGCCCAACACTGTAATTTTCCGGCGTCCGAAGTGGCACTTCGACGAGTTTCATTGAAGGCCCGCAGTGTGGAATATGTCTAGAATAGCTGACAAATGCTGAACGTGGGTCTGAAATGCTGGGGAATATACAATGACATCGTCAAGATAACAAATACATGTTGACCATTTGAACCCTTGTAGCAGAGAGTCCATCATGCGCTCGAACGTGGCTGGGGCGTTGCATAGCCCAAACGGCATAACGTTGAACTGAGATAGGCCGTCTGGAGTTACAAACACAGTCTTCTCTTGGTCTTTTTCGTCGACAGCAGTCTGCCAGTAGCCGGAACGTAGGTCTATTGAAGAAAAGTATCGGGCGCGGTTGAGACAATCGAGAGCTTCATGGATGCGGGATAAAGAGTAAACGTCTTTTTTCGTGATTCCATTCAGACCGCGGTAATCCACGGAGAAGCGCCACCTGGCATCTTTCTTTTTAACGAGCACAACGGGGGACGCCCAAGGGCTCGAATAGGGTTCAATAATTCTTTTGGCTAACATCTTGGTGACTTCTTGTTGAAATACTTTACGCTCGGTGGCAGACACCCGGTATTATCGCCGGTGAATGGGATGAGAATCACCCGTGTTAATGCGGTGCTTGACGAGTGAAGTCTGGCCGAGTGGACAGCTGTCAATGTCGAACATGTCCCTGTATGAAGCCAGAAGGCGGCATAGTGCGGCCGACTTCTCTGGTTTGAGGTCCGGCGCGATCATTGAGCGTAAGGTCGCATTGAGGTACGTGGCATCCTGCGAGTGACGTGGGTGATCGGAAAATACGTCTGCCGTAAATAGGTGACGTGGTCGTCAATTAAGGGTCTTAGCGTGGCGACCGAAATTCCTTGGAGTAGCACTTGTTTTATGAAACCGAAATTGATAACAGGTAAATATGTTCGGTTAGAGGCCATGGTTACGACGGAGTGTGGTACAGTAATGCCACGTGCCAGGAGAACATCAGGAATCGGCGTCACGACATAATCACCGTCGAGCACGGGAGAGGGTGTTGCCAATTCAACTAATGTGAGAGCTTTAGGTCGTATCCGAAAGAAGTCAGTGGTGCACAGGCGAGTTCAGGGATCGTAAATATTCAAGCATCGTAAATAAAACGGGGACATAGCAGCCGGCAATGCTAACATGAGCGGTACACATTCCAGTGATGAACACAGTTCCACCATCAGCTACAGGGAGGGCTTTAGTCGCTGCAGGGGTGAGGACTTTTTTGAGTAGGTGGCACAGGTGAGCACTCATTATAGACACTTGAACTCCGGTATCAACCAACGTCGTCAAAGTATCTCCGTCCACATACACCTCAATCAAGTTCGTATTAGTAGGGAGCGTCAACGGAGGATTTGGATCAGTCGCGATCGATGCTGCACTACCTCCCGGAGCTGCATGGTCTAGTTTTCCGTCCGAGAGGATTCATAGTTGACCAGCGACAGATAGCGGCGTGGTTGGGGCGATGGGAAACGGCGGCGTTGAGGTGACGGTGAACGAGCGGGGGAGCGGCTGTCAGGGACGTCGGAAGAAGGGTACACGCGACTGGGCGAATACCGACGGGAGTCCTCGTATGGACGAGAAGAGGAAAATGGGCTCCAGTTTGAGGGCGTTCAAGTGCTGCGGCAGTAGCGGGAAATATGGCCAACTCGGTGGCAGCGGAAGCAGATTGGTTTGTCGTCTGCAGTTCTCCATTCCGTCAGATTGTGGGATCGTGGAAGAAAATGTGAGTCATGGCGTGGTGCATTGGTTGTCATTGGTCTGGAGGTGGTTCGGGAGACAGAGAAGGCCACAGGAAAACCGAGCTTTGCAATTCCTTGCCTCACGGCGGCTCGAATAACGGAGACTCCCGGAGGCGTTTGTGCGGCGCCATGGTCGAGCGGATGTGGAGGAAATGGTGCCGGACTTGACGCCTCAAGGTCCCATCGAACTATACGTGTCACGCTGTCCTGCATGGGTGGTGCGGCACCGAGATCGGTGCAGGTTAATGTAACAGCCGTGTTTGGTAGCCGCGTAAATTGAGGCACAGCACGGCGGCTTTTGACCATTTCGAAGCGGCGTCATTCTTTGATAGTCATATCTATGGTCGTGATGTTGGTGTACACGAGCAAGTTGATGGCGTCGTCCGCGATTCCCTTGAGTATGCGGCCCACCTTGTCACTCTGTCATTTGCTCATCCACTTTTCGGCACAACGCGAGCACGTCATGTATGTACGAGACATACGACTCGGTTGAGGACAGCACACGAGTGGCGAGTTCTTTTCGCGCTTTCATTTGGCGACCGGACGGGTCCCCAAAGATGTCGTGCAGTCACACCTTGAAGGTATCCCAGCTGGTGAGTTCGGTCTCTTGGGCGTCGAACCAGACACGGGGGGTGCCGTCTAAGTAAAATATTATATTGGCGAGCATCATAGTAGGGTCCCATCGGTGTGCCTGGCTAACACGGTCGTACATACGGAGCCAGTAGTCAACGTCAAGCCCAGGTTGTGCGGAGAATGTACCGGGATCACGGGGGTAGAGCATCGTCAGGTATGTAGTGGTTGGAGCTACAGATGGAGACGCTGACGGGTTGTTGTCATTGGTAGCCATGGCCGGAGACTGAACGGTGCGGCCACTGCGAAGCTTCGTGGTGAAGACGGGGAACGTTCCACCTCCACCAAATATGTTACGGAAAAGAAGAGACGCCGTATCGACGAGGCTGGGGATTAGATGTATTTAAAACCAGCGGTAATGGCGTGACCGGCTCACCAGCGATCGAGCGGAGACAACCCTTTGTCTTCCTCGTCAGGTGCACAGGCGTGTCGCCCCTTAGAATATCAGCATGAATGCATGTAGCAATATGATGGTTTTGGGTCGTTAAATCCCACATATCGTATCAGCATCCTAATTGTCAAAATTACACAGGGCCTATGCATGGAATTTGAGTCTAATTTAAATTGTCTCGTGGATGCATATTCTTTTTTTTCTGCAGCTCTTACCCACTAAGGGGGATGGGCAAGAAAAGTGGTGGTTAATGCAAAAGAACAATTTATGGCTATGCAGGCTAAAGGATTTCTTTATTTGTATTTAACAGGACAAGGTTATTTGGCCACAAAGAGAAAAAAAGAAATGAAAGAAGAGAAATAATGGAATTTTTCAAATAACTAACAATCATTTATAACACATGATTTCAGTAGGTTAAATCAATGTCGTGTAATTATTAAATATAAAATTTATATTGGTTAGGAAAGAGAGTTGATCAATAGCTCAGCAAAATAATCTGATTGTGCCAAATATGAATTTGCAAAGGGTCCCGCAGATGTTCCCGTCGTGAAATTCCAATGAAGCTCCCCCAAAGGACAGAGTACTAAGTGCAATTCGCAGTTTTTAAAATAAAATTTTGAAGCATATGTGTAGGACTGTAAATGTTCACGTTTTTATTTTTTTCCAGATCAGCAGGGAGCAGATGGAACGCGTTCTAGGCTACGTCGAGGCCGGCAAGCGGGAGGGCGCCCAGCTCCTTTGTGGAGGCCAACGCTACGGCAGCCGCGGATACTTTGTCCAGCCCACGGTGTTCTCCAACGTGCACGACGACATGAGCATCGCCCGGGAGGAGATCTTCGGCCCCGTTCAGAGCCTCTTTAAGTTCAGCGACACAGAGGAGGTCATTGAACGGGCTAACCGGACCACATACGGGCTCGCCGCAGGTGTCTTCACCAGCGACTTGAACACGGCACACACTGTTTCGCATGCTCTTCAAGCGGGTGTCGTGTGGTACGTTTGAGTGGCAGTCGACCACGTAAATATATATATATATATATATATATATATATATATATATATATATATATATATATATATATATATATATATATATATATATATATATATATATTTGAGAATGTTTGCCAAATGTGCCCCATCCCAAAGCCATTCGTACTCTTATAGTTACTTCATTCTCGTGGTTCGGCCCCGCGGTTACTACTTGTCCTAAGTCAACGTACTCCTTTCTTTACAACTTCAAGTGCACTGCTACCTACCTCGAAGCGCTGTTCTCTTCCGAGATTTTAGTACATTGTTTCGTTTTCTGCAGATTAATTTTATGACCTACTTTTCTGCTCTCCTTGTATAATTCAGCATATGTGGTCCTGTTATGCGGAAATACGTATGTTCTGGGTGCTAAAACATACGGTTAACCGAAATGCATTCTTCATTTCTTTTTTTTAATGAAGTTAATGTAGCTCGCCATACTATGTGTGGTTTGATGGATGAATGAACTTTATTAGCTCCTTCAGAACACGCTTTAGCGCGTTATGGGCCGCCCCATGTTGGAACAGAAAAACTAAGTCTCTCTACTGTGTCGCGGGCCCGTTGGACTGCCCATAACCGATGTTATTCATGTTTGGAGCTGGTAATAGCAGACTCTATTTGGAAGGCGTGATGACTTCGCCACAGCGTAATGCTCAGCACCGCCAGAGCATGTGTTCTAAATTAGCTATATCATTGCAGAAGGAACGTGTATTAGTTGGCTGTATTTCGGAATAAATCTTGTGCAATAGCGCTGAATTAGGGTACGCCCCGACTTGCAGAAGCCTGAGTGTCAGAGCTTGAGGTCTGCTTAGTTTTCTGTGCAGTGGTGGGTACTGTCTCCGCGTAAGGTAAAAAATTTTTTGTGAGTTTGTTACACGAGATGGGAGGGTCCCGCTTTTCCAAAACATCAGCCGATAGCTACGCGGTTTACTAGTCTTTGCGCAGATATGTGCACTGACTCGTTAGGATTCAGCGGGGCTCCCTCCCATGTGAGCTGGGAACTTAACGTGTGTGTGGCTCAAAGGATCCGCAAAGCCGGTGCCGATATTGTGTCCTTGGCATATGCTCTGACCGCTGATCCCAAGTTGCTGTGGATCTCCTGTTGTCCAGCAAAACCAACGGAATCACCACTTGCTCTGCTATTTCAGCCATTGTTGTTCGGAAATTTGTGATGCTGCCCTAGTGGTTGATGCTCACTGCCGCATACGCCTTCCCCTCGAGATATTGGGTGTAGTGACACGTATCCCGAAGGAGTACGGTCACTAGCGTGGGTCCGGTCTTAGCAAGCCGCAGGGCACGCGTTAACCATCGCCGTGGCGAGAACACGATACTGCCAAGGTCGCAACACTTTATTTTCTGTGGCAACACCAAACGCAGTGCAGTCTGTTGCAAAGACGTGGCAGGAAAGCAAATGGGCTTATCCACGCCACGAGCGTAAAATACTACACAGGGTGCCACGAGCATGTCTCGGTGGTAAAGGTGACTCATGGAGACACCGGGACTATGGCCCTGTTGCTCAAGCGAAGGAAAAGGCGCTCGCGTTGGCTTCGGAGGGAGACGGGTCGGCGTATCTTGGCCACACACTAGAACACCGTACCACCCTTCGACCGAGCGTACGCAGAGGGGCAACAAAAGGTGAACGTTCGCCTCGGGCGCGAAGAGCCGTCAGCGAAGTCCGACGAGCCCCGAATGACTGGAGTCCACGGACCGAAACGTTTGCGTGACTCACCGTCAGCTGTCCCGGAGAGCATCTTCCCGCTCACGATGCACGCGCGCAAAACCTCTTGGGAGACCCTACCCGCGACGCCACAATCGGCATCCGCTACCGGCTGAGAGGGGTACAATGTCACTCCGCCCTCCCAGCGCTGCAGACAGCGGAGGAGGGGAGTCATTTCGGGGCACGATAACGGCAGAAAAGGCGGCAAAGCCAGCGCAAAGGCAGCGGTCTAGCGTCAATTCCCCCATCCCCCTCTGCTAAATTTACCCTTTACCGGCCTGCAAAGGCAGCGGGACGTCACCCATGCAGTTAAAATGGCACTGTTATGAGCGACAGCTAACCTCAGTCCAGCCCTGTAACTGCTGCTAAAAAATGGTGATAATAGAGAAAAACATAAATAACAAAATAAACACGTGACACTGCAAAAATAATTGTGAAATGGAGCACAGGAAAGTGGGACTAGTGTTCGTGGTGCTTGGGAGGGATAGTGTCCACCGAGCGGAGGGACGGAAGTGCGTGACAATGTCCGCTGGTTGCGATGCCCGAGTGCGAGGTCAGAGGCACGAAAGGGGGCTCTCTGATGGCTCGTTGCTGCTCTTGATTAGCCGCGAGTCCGACGGATGCAGCTTTTCAGTTGTGGTTTAGAGGCCCTGCATTTCTGGCTTGATAACGGAGCTGGGACGTTGCGGGAAGCCGGGCCTCTCCAGTGATCAGCGAAGCAGAACCGGAATCGGCTGCGAGGCACCCTGACGTTGGACGGCAGGACATAGCTGCTGTCAGTTGGTCTCGCGCAGGAGCCATGGTGCAAAAGGCAGCAGGGCTTCTCGTGCAGAGGACAGCGTCAGTAGGTCAGTGCCCCGAGCACCTCTAGTGTCCTTGTCGATGGGCGCGAAGCCACGACGCGCACTCTTCACGGGCACGCACCGAAGCGTGACGCACTTACTCACGCACAGAAGCATGCACGCACACACACCGCCGACAGCTGGGCGAGCGTAGGCGCAAAGCATCCTTCGTCTCTCTCTCTCTCTCCTGGCACAAGCACTGACACTCAAGGTCACAGCTTCCTTCGCGGTAGACGAAATAAACACGGAAAAAAAGTAAAACAGTGCAAAATGACACTCAACCTCTGGCCAAAAGAAAAGAAAAAAACATAAAATACAAATAACACCTAATATTAGACAAAAGAAACATGAAATACACATGAACACTTTAAAAGAAACGCTCGCAACAAAGAGGGTGGGGTCGATTTCTTTACAAGAAAAAGTTGTAAAAGAGCTAACCTATACTGAGGCTAGACAGTAAACTGAGGGCCTTCGGTGGTGGAGAAGTCTGCCGTCCGGCGCGAAATCACAAAGGTGACCGCTTCCTCAGATTATATCGGTGCGGGGTCCGAATGCGGTCCACCACCACGGGTGTGCCCCGATGCTTGCCTGAAGTGCCGAAGGGCGCTGGCGCGATCTCGTCAGACCGTGATACAAAGGGTTTCAGGTCTGCGATATTGGCATGGCTGAGTTTTCCCGAGTGGGGATCTTTAGCAAGTACGCGAGTGGAGTGCAAGCTTTCTCCACTGGGTACAAACCAAGCCACTTAGGAGCGAGCGAGGTTGAGAACCCCTTACCGGCATAGCTAAGAGCGTGGTTACGGTTAAGGACAAGATCGCCCACCTCAAAAACGAGGCCGCGATGCTTGCAGTCACATTGGGCCTTCTGCTGAGCCCTGGCCGACGCCAAATTGTGCCTTGCTTTGCAAAAAGCTCGACAAGGCCTGTCCCAAAGTGTTGACGCGTAAGCAGAGCAGTCCGCCGGCATCTCCTCGCCCTCGAGCTGGCATTGAGTGACGCTGGTCACCGGATTTGCCGACTTCCTTCCAAAATTTAAGAAGGCGGGCGAGAAACCAGTTGAGCGACATTCGGATGTTCGATTAGCGAACGCGAGCTCACTCAAATGGTCTGCCCAGTCTGTTTGACTTTCGGCAAAGGCCGCCTATATCGGTTTGAGCGTACGATTGACGCGCTCAGTCAAATCGGACTGGGGATAGTAGGGTGAAGTGGTGCAGTGATCGATTTCAATGGAACGGCACGTGACACCAAACACCCAAGCGGTGAAATACGAAGCATTGTCCGTGATGAGCCTTTCCGGGAAGCCGAACCGGCAAAACACTTCCTGCAGCCTCTCACGCATCGCTCGCGCTGTCACGTTCTGAAGAAGGAACAATTCCACCCATTTCGAAAAGTGATCAACGACTACCATCATGTGAATGAACCCCTCCTTCCTTCTAAGAAATGGTCCCATTAGATCGCAGATGGCCACTTGCCACGGACGCTCACTGACAATCGGGTTCATCAGACTGGGCTGTTTGCCACCCCTTGATTTCACTGTTTGACAGACGCGGCAAGAACGGCAATAGCGAAAAATGTCTCGCTTCATGTCGGGCCAGGTCACAACGCGGCTCAGTTTTGCAAAAACGTTCGAGCCATTCAGGTGACTGGCTATGCGTTCGTCTTGAGAGGATCGCAACAGTGCAGCTCTCAGACTTTTAGGCATAACCATCTTAAACGGGTCGATGGACTCGTCGTCAGTGGCTATATACTTCAGCCGGAGCCCGTCATGGTCCTGCAAATACAAATCCGCCAAGGACTCAGCGACACACGCTGGCTCGAGCCCCCTATTCGCGCCCGCTGCAGGGCAAGCAGCATCACGGTGCTTCGTCTCGTCGAGACAGTCGCTATCGGCGCCCGCTGCAGGACAAGCAGCGTCACGGCGCTCCATCTCTCTGAGACCGTCGCACATTTCGCTACAAAACGGATCACTTTGCTGGGTCTTCAGAAGCTCTTTTCAGCTGAAAGTGATCCCCATTCACCCAAAATGGGGGAGTCTAGTATCGCGCCCACTCTGGACCGCAACAGCAACCGCTTGAGTCGGCGTTACGGGTTCGCTCTCGGCCTCGTGGCCTTCGGAAAGCTCCCCTGCTCGGCCCCTTCGCGGTGCGCCGCTTACCTGGTTAACAGAGAAGGTTTGTCCGCATACTCACCCTTCTCACCGAATGATGGTGAAGCTGCTGTTTTGCCTCTGACGCTTTCATGTGCTAAGACACCGCTAGCAGCTGTCACACCGGGATCAAGGTCCTCGACAGGCAATGGGGCACGAGATAGCGCGTCAGCTACAACGTTGGTGCTCCCCTTTCATTACTGCACTGAAAAGTCATAGTGCTGTATCAGGAGAGCCCAGCGCGCCAGCCTGCCTGTAGG